ACGCCGGCATTTCACTTCTGACACCAAATGTAGCGTCCTGCAGGACACAAGGGAGACAACCGTGAGTGCCGACGAATAGTCGCTTTTTTTATTAACTCCACCCAACCAGTTACTGTTGGCCGTAACCACGCCAAAACAACAGCCCAGCAACACCAAGAAAAAGAAACAACCTGCTAACACCCTCTGTAGCTCAAATCCCCTCCACCCTTCGCTCCCTCCCGCTCTCACACCTCTTAACCCCTGAAGCGCCACACCCATCAAGGAACCATAACAATTTAGAACATCATAACATGCCAAGTGAAGGATCACTACACTATGAATCTAAACAGTACTCCGCCTTCGCCCGATTGCCGGTGTTCTGCCAATTCTTCATACCTTATCAGATCTTCATACCCAAACTGTCTGCGCATGCGCATTAGGCTCTGCGCATGCGCAGTTATGGACTGACAAACCCCACCCCGATCCATCCCCCTAACCCTAACCACTTTGTGAACGGTGGGTAGCACGTTTTGATAGGTAGCAAAATCTGACAAAACACTGGTATGTCAGTCAGTAAACATATACTCAGCCTCTGGTTTGTAAAGGCTCTGTTTTCAGAATCAACTTTTCTCTTGGCCATTGTTGGGGGCTAGCTTTGACTTGAAATTAGGGTTGTATACATCAACAGACGCTTGATTGATCTGACGTAATTGTCGCAGGTAGCCTATCGTTCGTTCGTTAAGGCAGATGTTGCGCTGCATTATGGGATTTGTAGTTTGTGTGTTATCGGTGTGTCATATCACCGGGGAATAAAAAAAAAAAAGATGTATAAAATGATCTCGCGGGCCGGATGTGGCCCGCGGGCCTTGAGTCTGACACATGTGTTTTAATCCCTTGACAAAACAGAAAAGACTTTTACCGGACACAGATACTTTTATGAACAATTAAGCCTGAATTTTTCTCTTGACATACATGACATTACATGGTCAGGCCCCTCTGAACAAGTTGCTGTGTCCTCAGTTACCTGGGAGGAGCCTCAGGTCCTGGCTTTTTCCTGGTGTTCTTTGACTGAAACAGCCTCGAGCAGTGTCAGTCAAGTCAAACCAGTGTACTTCTTTGAAAGGCATTTTAAAGGTTGCTTGTTTTTTGGGGGGCTTTTTTTTTACCGACTTTTACTTTGTAGGTGACATTCTCTTTGTTTTACATTTTGTCTTTTCTGTCTCTTCTATCGCTGTTTTTTCCTCTCATTGTTTCTCCAAAGCAGTTTATAACTTCTGTTTTTATATTTTTGCTTACTCTCTCTTACTTGTTTTAGGATCCAGAATGACAGCAGCCCTTCTGTTTCTCTTCCTGGCTGGTCCAGTGCTGCTGGTTGCTGGCTCCAGCAATGCGACTGTACCAGTAGTGGTGTGGCATGGGATGGGTAAGTGACTGTGCTGCCCGCCAGTACACTGAAGGGGTAAAATCATTCACCCACAGGGAGTTGTTTCATTGAAATAATCAACTACACATTTATTTGATGAATAATTTGTATGTAAAAGTTATTTATATACCCCAAAGGCTGATTCTTAGACAAGTTCTGGAGTATAAGGAATGTTCTTTTTTCTTAGTGCATTTATGACCATTTGCATATTTTCAGGACATTTAAGTCACAATGAATTTATAAATATGCGAATAGCATGTGTGTGCTGAGGTTTGACTGAGCTATGGCTCTGAGAAGGAGTATGATTTTTGATTAAGTTGCTGTACTTACAACCAGCTTACACCACATGTACTACACTTGGCGCTGTATAACAAGTGGTGTTTAACTCAGTTGTTTACATGATAATAAAGTGAATATTAATGTCCTCACCAGGTGACAACTGCTGTAACCCTCTCAGCATGGGGGCTGTAAAGAAGATGATCGAGGAGGAGATCTCTGGCATTTACGTGCTCTCACTGATGATTGGGAAAAACGTTGTGGAGGTACTCTCGCAGTGTAAAGATCTTTATTAAAGTGAACATGCTCCGTAGCGATTGTCAAAAGTCTTATGAAGAAAATGTGTCTGTTGTCAAGCGTTGGAATCCAAAATGGTTACGTTGCTGGAGAAATCAGTTTCACTTCTCACTTCTTTTGAATTTTTTTATTGCTTGGCTTCTTCGTGCATGCATTTAAGTTTAAGTTTTAAATGTGCTTTTTTTATTTATATGATGTTAACAGTGTTTCTCTTGGTAAAAAGTAGTTACTTTAACCTACATGACCTAAAATCTGTGTTGCATTTCTCTTTATTTAATTGCTGTAAAGGTATCTAAGTTTGTTTACTGTGCTCAATAGAAATATCAGGTCCTCTTTTCTGTGGGCACAAACACACAACATGTGAAAATGTTTAGACAAGAATGTAACATGTGAACCAAACAGTTATGCAACAGCTTGGATTGACACATCCGCATGACATATAAGGAGTCCTATTCTGTGATATTTGCAGCGCTAGTGGCAAACGTTACATCAGAAAAATGGCTCTTTTACAACTTCACTGTGTAATTTGTCTGTGTTAATATTCATAGGAAACCAGCATGACTCTGTTGCTTTTTGCTTTGATCCATCGTGACACCGTGACTTCGTCTCTCCTCGTGGACGGTGCTCGTTTTCTTCTTGTAATCTGTCTGTCACAGTTTGAATTTGTCATGTTTATCCTCCTGCAGGACACAGAAAATGGGTTTTTCATGGATGTGAATGAGCAGGTGTCCATGGTGTGCAGTCAGCTGGCTCAGGACCCGAAGTTGAAGGGAGGATATAATGCCTTGGGTTTCTCCCAGGGGGCGCAATTTCTGTATGTAACTTCAGTTCTGCACACCGAATGTTTTGTTCTGAGAATGGGAGAGAAATTGGAAAGCTGTTTCTCTTCTTGCCTATTCTTCTCTGAAGGAAATACTTAAACATACAAATGCTGTAGAGAACACCATGATTTCAGCTCTGTTTGAGAAAGTCAAGTTAGTAAAGTTCAAGTCCTGAGCTACAGCCTCTGTTTGAGCACGTCTTCTGCTCCAAGTGTTTGTCTCGGTGATTGAGGAAGCTCGCTGTGACTCCTCCTGGTTCCTCTCCTCACAGGAGGGCTGTGGCTCAGCGTTGTCCCTCGCCACCAATGAGGAACCTGATCTCCGTTGGTGGCCAGCAGCAAGGTAACAGCATTATGAGGAATTGAAACACCGGTTCAGCTCATTTCTGAGCAAAGCTGACAGTAAAACAAATCCTATGCCTAAGCCTAATCATTTACTGATTACTAAGTCATAGGATATATGAATATAATAGAGCATATTGATAAGAAATGACAAAACAGACAAAATAACAAATGGTCCCTACAGTTAGCAGTAAGAAAAAAAAACTTCAGACTAATGAAAAATAAAAAACTGCCTTCACTTGTTCCCAATTCTTTTTCCTCTGCAGGCGTGACTGACAACATTTCAACTATATTCTTCATAACATTCTTATACTATCCCACTCATTCTGCATAGGGTTAATTTACAGCTGTTTTGCGATTATTTATTAGATAAACCTTAAGTAAAGAGAAGTGCGACATGATCAACAACTCTAAGTCTTTTCTAACCTGTTGTTGACAGGTTAAACAAGTAACTTTTCCTGAACCTTCTGTCACATCACATGATCTGACTTGATGTATTGTTTTGTTGGATCTCTGACAAAGTGAATTTCCTCTTCTGGGTCCTAAAGTTAAATGAGATGTTCATTTATCTTCCTCAGCAGAACTGTACTTGGCACTTGAACTGTAGATGTTCAGATAATTGGTGTCTTGACCTTTATTTTTAGCTTCTGTGTCATGTTTAAGTGCCAAGAAACAGTGTTATTATGAAGTGGCTTGATAAAACCAGTGCCTACTGACAAGCAGACAGCTTTGCTGTGTGTTTTTTGATCCTCAGGAGTATTTGGGCTGCCCAGATGTCCCGGAGAGAGCTCTCGTATCTGCGACTTCATACGCAAAGCTCTGAACAGTGGCGCTTACTCTGACCTGGTCCAAAAACAGTAAGTTGTCATCTCTGTTGGCGGTAACCACGCCAAAACAACAATAAGAAAAAGAAACATCTCTCTGTCTGAATCACTGCATAGCACGCGGTGATGCATGTAGCAGCCGTGACATTGTGTGTCTATTACTACCGCTGCACAGACTGCTGTACCTGTTTAACTGGAGGTTGTGTTTGTGGTTATCAGCCTGGTGCAGGCACAGTACTGGCACGACCCCTTAAATGACGACCTGTACAAGAAGTACAGCCTCTTCCTGGCCGACATCAATCAGGAGAGGGTCAGTATGTGACTACAGGACTTTACAAAAGCAGATCACACCTGGACACTGAGCAAAGGCATCAAGGCAAAATGTGACGTAATTAGGTCAGATACAAGGAGTGCACTCGTGTCATTGTGCAAGCTCTTGTTATTAGGGAAAAAACAGAGCGTTGACCTTGAAAATTGGTGAGGGGAAAGCATATTCAGGCTCACTTACCGTGTTTTTTGGGGGGGATATTAAGAATTCCACTTCTTGCAGATTTAATTTTAAATGGATAAAACTAGTTTTTGGCCATCAGTACATTCAGTAAATAACTCAATGGCAAAGTGAAAACATGTTTTCAGATGTTTTTGTAAATTAATAAAAATCTAAAACTGAAATCTCTCTGCTGTGCCACTCCACATGATACACCCTGTCTGCTTTAACTATTTCTGAGATGTGTCTGGAACTTGATTAGAGTCCATCTGTGGCAAACTGAATAGACTGGACATAGTTTAGAAAAACTACCTGAGGGTCCAACAAACCCACAGTAAACATAACACATTCAGATTTTGACCAGTAATTACTGTCCCTTGTGTAATACATTATCACCTGAATCCATTTGGCTGTAATCGGTGTATGTCTCTGTGTTCTCTGCTTTAAAGGGTGTGAATGAGACTTATAAGAAGAATCTTCAGCTGCTGGACAAGTTTGTCATGGTCAAGTTCCTGCAGGACACTGTAGTGGATCCTGTTGATACTGAGGTAACAAACTGATCCCAACACCCCCTCTCACAAACTTGACTGTCTTTAAGATTTCTTTTAATCTACAATATATGTAAATACCATAATGAACATATATACAGTGCTGTGTGCTTTAATAAAATTAATAAAGCAGCATCATGAAGAGGCTTTTCCTGGTTGTTCTCCTAGTGGTTCGGCTTCCTGAAAACCGGCCAGACCAAAGAGACTGAGACTCTGCAGGACAGCGTCCTCTACAAAGAGGTAACAGCCTTTATGGTCTTTGCTGCATCATTAGGAAACACAGCTGCTGGTGTGAGTGAATACAAACACACGTTATAAAGTCACAGCCACAGGGACCCTTTAGTGTCTTTTTTTCATTAAACTGGAAGATCTTTGACTTGGAATTACAACAGAGGCTGAAGTGAATCGGTTTTCCCCCTCACTCGTTTTCACTCCTGAAAATAATACTGTAGGGCATGGCCGCAGCAGTAACAAAATAGAAAAGAAATAGGAAAGCAGCAGGGCTGGGTCTGTCCAAAGGTAACATGCCAACCAGCACCTTTCAAGTCAGTGCACCCAGTCTCCATAAGAAGGCAAACTGGCCAGGCCTGGGCTACCTGTCTCCCTAATTCTATGCTAAGCTAACTGGCTCCATTTTAACTTATTTACTAGTCATTCCTGTTTACTATTTCTAACTGTTACATATTTTGGTATACAGATTGCAGCAGTGTGCTTTTATATTATTCAGTGAGGTCTTTAAAGTTGTAAAACCAAACCACCTCTGTGTGTCTGCACTCAGGATCGTCTGGGCCTGGCAGCGATGGACAAGGCCAAAAAGCTGGTTTTTCTAAAGTGTGAAGGAGACCACCTGCGGTTCACCAGAGAGTGGTTCAACACAAACCTGGTGCCTTATTTACGCTAGAAACACTTAAATGCTGATTATAATAAAACTTCAGTGACTAAAATGGAGTCAAATCTGGTTGGAGGCCAATTTAATGAAACTAATGAATAAGCAGAAACTTAACCAAGGAAGAGAATGTAGCACTTTTCTTTGCACTGATAACTTGTAGCATGTTGATCCGGTTTTATGATGCCATGTTATTTTTAGCAGCCAATTTGTGCATCCGTCTTGTTCTGTACTACTAACTCGACTTAAATGTTATTTTAGAACTGTTAGATTAAGACTTCAATAAGTGTTCCAATAATCAAATGTACAACATTTAATGCTTTTGCATACAACAGGTTATGCAATAAAGATGGACTAAAATAACATTTTTTGAAAGATTTTTTTAATGATATCTCCAGTACTAATGAGCAGAATTCAGATTTTGGACCCAAAAGAATGACAATATAAAAGAAAATTCAGCAGAGCTTCACAGCTACAGGAGCTGAAGGTAACCAGAGTGCAAACATGGCTAGGAGCAAGTGGAGAGATGGTGAGGACTAATATTTAAAGCTTATTGAATAGTTATTCATGTCTATACAGGTGATTACAGCAGATATTTCCAATGTTAAGACTGAGGTGAAACATTCAACAACGATGTCATTTTCTCTTCCACTTTGCATCAACTCCTCTTTATCGCAAGCTTTTCTCTCATTCCTCCTTCTACGGAATGTTTTTGATTCTTAGGAATGTCCTATGTGTGGGATTATTTTATTTTTTTATTATTAAATATATCCACTATGAATGTTATTACAGTTGACACCAGTGGAGGGGGGATATGGATGTCTGTCCTCTGAATGGACAAATGCTTCAGTGAATTGCATATAAGGGAACAGAAACCTATCAGGCCTCAAATTAAGAAATCATCCCCTCCTGATTGGGAAGAGGAGAAAAAGAACCTGCAGTGTTGTTTTTGCTGAGGAGACAACAGTCCTGTTCCCATGTTGGCTATTCTACAGGTTAGATTTAGCTTAGTATTGTCCAGATAGATTAAAAGAAATCCAGAGTATCCCAGCTACTGGCAAAACTCATGACTGCTTTTGAAAAGTGCTCACAGAGAAAACCAATTTGAATGAAAAGCTGCTCCCTACTGATTGGCTGGAGGATTGGTCCTCTCATTGGCTTACGGAATGAACAGCTTAAGTAGTGATTGGATGAGGGAGGGGGGATATAAACAAATGAGGTCCGAATCTCAGTCTACAGTGAGAGAGTTAGCTGGAGGGGTGGTTGATCTGCAAAAAAAAGGGTGGGGGCGGCGTCGAGGAGGGGCGCTCATTTTGTACGCTGGCCCCGTCTATCCGGTGATCTCTGTTGCTGTGGTAACGAGTTTCTCACCATCCCAGACGGTCTTGAACTGTTCAGGAACAGGAAGCTCCGTCTGACAGAGGGAAATAGAGAGAAGTCGAACTCAGAGTGAAGTGTGCTTCATAGTCTTTGTAAAAAAAATAAATAAATAAAAAAATTTTTTATTTTGCTTTAAACGTAACCTGTCACAAGTAAAAGCAATCCGAGTCCTTATTCAGACTTGAAGTCCGCATGTTTTAAAGTGCTATTACTTTTATATAATCTCTTTTGTCTGAAAGGGGCTTTTTACGAGGACATGGCAAGGACAATACAAATCTAATGATCACTATAGACGGCACTTACAAACTCTCCATCTTTTTTGGGGACCAGGATGTTCATCTCTGAGCTCTTGGCGCTGACGATCTCACACTTCAGAGAGTCATTGCTCAGGTAAACTTGGCAGCCGTCCGTCTTGTTGATGGAGATGGTGGGGACCTTACCCATGACCTAGATATGAGAAAGCAACCAAATTTTAAATAGGGGGAAAAAAATGTCCTTCCAATAACATAGTATATAATTAACATACTGGGAAAAATATTTGTTGCATAAGATGCAAACATTTTGTTCTGATCCACTCCACAGTAGAGCTGCTCTGTGGTCAAAAACTGAGGTGTCAGTGTGCAACTATATGACTATAAAGCAGTGTTCATGCAAAACAGACTGCACAGCAGCAACAATCAAAAACAGCTGAAGTCATTTGTGGCTGCTGTCGTTCACTTGAACTGCATTTTGCTGTTACACACCTGGACCTTGACGTCCTTGCAGTTGATGAGCTCCACAATGCCGACAACATCATCGAACACCAGGCCTGTTTTCTTACAGTTGTCTGATAGAGAGAAACAAACATTTGAAGGACAGACGCTATTATGACACGGAAATGGCAAAAAGTACTACTTTTTAAATGCCGTCTTGCCAGGGCTAACTTGAAAAAGCAGTTCTAGACTTCAGTGGGTTCCTCCCTAGTTGGGGGGAAAAAAAAACAAAAAAAAAAACACTCTTAATGTCCAACAGCTGGTTCAGTTCTTACCTACAGTGATGGCGTTGATTTTGCCCTTGACCTGCAGAGTGCTGTTGTTACACTTGAAAACGTAAACCACCTGCTTCAGCTCAGTGTTGCTGATAACCAGGTTCTGTGCTCCCTCGTGGTTCTCCTACAGAAGAGAGAGAGTGAACAACAACAGTACGAGTATAAAGCACAGTTTAACACCGACTTTACTGTATAAAGGCTAACTTTAAATATCAATTTTATAAAAAGCAATTCTGGCTGAGTGACTCATTTTACAATAATCACTCCAGCTGAATTAAAAACCCCACACTTGCTGATGTGGCCCCTTCTTTTTAATTGTGGTTCACTACATCTAAAGACAAATTCAGCTGTAGCTTAGAGTTCAATTGGCTTCTCAGTTAACTGTGTAGTTAGAGAACCGACAGCGTACCACTTTCCACTTCTTCCCATCGAGCTCCAGAACAGGGGGCAGTGTGCGGGTTGGGGTGCTGGACGCAGCAGGTCGGGGGGAGGAGGAAGAAGCAAAGGGTTTTGGTCCAGTACGCACTGGACCACTCTGACCCTTCAGGGTAGGATTCTTGTGTGTCTTCTGGTCATCGCTCACATGCTTCAAGCCTGGAAAGGTCAAGAAAGAGGGAATAACATTATAAAGCTACAGTACAAAATGTTTCTGGCTCAAAACAGAAGATCTGAGACAAATTCATAGCTGATCTGCATGAGTAAAAACTTCTATTATTACCAATGAAAAATGAACCAAGGAGACAGAGAGGAAAGAATGAGCTGCCGCTTGTTGTTCTGTCAGCTACCCACCCTTAGTGATATCAGCTCCCTTGTTGAGGGAGGCGAACAATGCGTTACGGTTGTCAGCACCAGCATTGCTGCCGCCAGAAGGTCCACTCAAGTTCATGGGGGGTGGAGGTGGACCAGGAGGAGGTGGGAGAGGACATCCACCTGCAGGAGCACTGGGGGGAGCTGCAGAGGCTGAGGCTATGGGACCCTGAGGTGGACAGAAGCATCTAATGTTGCAGCATGTGGTTCAACTGGCATTTCACTGAGCAAACTATAAAGATATTTAACAGTGAACAGATGGTTAATCCTGGTTTCTGGCTGTTCCTGCCCAGAACATACTTGTGATTAGCAATTTGATCACTTTAGAGCTTCTCTTAAATGTTACTCCCATCCTTCACTGTAAGTGGGAGAAAGTCGCTTGTTAAATGTCTAATTCTTCACTTTCAGCAAAGAACTTTGCACTTCAGTTGTAATTCTTGGACTTACAGTCTTGCTCCAGGTCAGTCCAGTGGTATGGTGCTCTTTGATGTAGTTCTGCAGCTCAGTCCAGATGGAGACGTAGGCCTTCACCCAGTCTACATGTGTCTTGTCCCTGTGAAGAAGAGATGAGAACAGGATGGCCTGTTGATCACCGTTATACATTTAAGTCTTGGCATTTTATGGTTCTTTTCCCCCCTCGAGCACTTTCTTTTCACTGGTCTCTGTCTCACAAGAAAACACACAATGCATGAGGTGCTCAACACACACACACACACACACACACACCAAGAACCAGAGATTTACTAAATTTAGAACATAACATTTTTTTCCTAACCCAGACACAAAGCCATGATCTCATAGTTTATTTGTATGCAGGATTACTGCTTTGGATTCAACTTTGGAAAGAACTCACAAACCTCAACATGTCGTGTTTTTGTGTAGGTTTTCAACATAACCAGGCTGCCTTTGGTCTGGACAGCTTGTACCTTAACTTAAGTGTAACTCAAGTCTATGCAAACACAAACGCTCTGACTTCACACACAGGAAGTCTACAAGTGTGTGTCAGCGTGTCGCGTGGAGGCGCCGACTCAGTTTAAAAAAAAAAAAAAGATACTTCAACTTAGAAAGAGCTTAGAGGAAGAACAGAATAAAAGACAGATGGGTCCTG